GGAATACAGCAACGAAGCACTTGTTTGTGGGGTGCTGTTGGTGGTTGTTGGCACTGCTGCTGTCACCGCCTCTGCCTGTGGGGTGCTCTTGGTGGTCGGTGGCACTGCTGCTGCCACCGCCTCTGCCTGCGGGATGCTCTTGGCGGTCGGTGGCACTGCCTCTGCCTGCGGGATGCTCTTGGCAGTTGGCGGCACCGCCGCTGCCACCGCCTCTGCCTGCGGGGCACTCTTAACAGCTGGTGGAACCGCTTCTGCCACCGCCTCTGCCTGCGGGGCACTCTTGGCAGCAGGTGGCACTACACTTACTGTGGTTTTCTTTTCAGGTGACGGCGCATTTTCACACTTGCTTTCCTTAGGTGGATTCTCTCCTGACTCTTTTTCAGGTGAAGATGGATTTTGCTCAGTAGTATTTTCAGCAATAGCGGGTTTTCTTTCTGTTTCTGTATCTGATGCTGTGACCATTTCTTGATTTGAACTGCAAGTTGGCTGGGAGCTTTCTGAATCTTTGCTAGTATCTTTTTCCTGCTTTTTTGGCAACGTGCTCTCTGCTCCCTTTGGGACTTCTGCCTTGGTTGTTTTCACATCCTTTACAGTATCCTTAGAATCTTTGCTTTTCTCAACAGCTCGCTTCTTGGGAGGCTCCTCTACCCCTTCTGCAAAACAAGTAAAGTATGTTAGGCTCTTTAATTTCTCCATTATGAAATATCCATCTAGAGACAATTTATCTACTTTCTAAAAAATTCTAACAATAGTCTCTGTGAACTTAAAAGGTATATATTAGTGATACATCTTGCACTACAATTGCAAGTATTAACTTACTATTTCAGAATATTTTAGTATTTTTTGACAAAAAACTGAAAATACTCAGGTGCAACATTTTGGTTTGGGACCTGTAGGCAAGTATGTATTTGTATTCTTGAAATCCAAACCAAAAATAACCAAAGTACATTAAATAGTGTCCTGGTTTCAGTTGGGATAGAGTTAATTTTTTTCCTAGTAGCAGCTGTGCTTTGAATTTAGTATGAGAAGAGTGTTGATAACACATATTGTTTTAGTTGCTGCTAAATAACATCTATATTAAGTCAAGGACTTTTTCAGCTTCTCATAGAAGCTGAGAGGGAGCATAGACAGGACAAGGTGGCCAAAGGGGGATATTCCATACCATAGACATCACTCTCAGTATATAAATGGAGGTTGGCCACGGGGCAGGGATCCGCAATCGCTGCTTGGGACAGGCTGGGCAACCGATCATTGGGTGGTGAGGGCGATTTGCATTGCACCACTTAATTTTATGTGTTCTTTTACCATTATTTTTTTTTTTCTCTTCTGTTACTGTTCTATTAAACTATCTCAACCCACAGGGCTGGGTTTTTTTTTCCTCCCTCTTCTCCCTACCCTACTGGGTGGGGTGGATGGGGGTGAGTGAACAGCTGCATGGTCTTAGTTGCCAGCTGAGGTTAAACCACAACAAATACGCTATCTGACCTAAAAACCCCTGTATTTTGTCTATTAATATCATAAAAGCATCCTTAAAATATCACTTTAAAAAGTTTAGAAATTTCTTTAAGAAATTAAGTTCCTCAGAAAGCAACAACGTCTGACTAGCGCTAAAGACAACATAAGAAGAATACATTTAAGCTGGAGTGCAATAATCTACATCGCATTAAAAGAAATAATCAGCTTAAAGTGCACCAGATGTAGAAACTCAAAACAAGGGCTCTACATTACCAACGCAATACTTATTCATTATATCAATTTTACAGGTATTATATAAGGACAAAACAGCAGAGAGAGGGGAAACGATTAACAAGGAGTTTAAAAAGTAAATTATTTCGACTACTTTCTAAGCCCGAGGTAAACCGAGAACATTCAGAAACACGCATTTTCTAGACTCCTATGTATTGTCACAGCTATGATCTGCTAACCATTGCTACTTGATATGCCTCTTTTCTTCACCTTGGCAACCAGTTCATCTCTCGTGGTGCGGACGGGCGCGCCGGTCACTTGGATGCCTTCGGCCATTTCCAGCGCCTTCTCCATCACCTGCGGCGGGTACCTGGAGGGGCGAGAAGGGGAGAGGAGAGGAGGGGACGGGCATCGCCCCATAAAAGTTTGGGCTCAGGGCTTTCCTCTTGACTTCAGCCTCAAAACCACCTTTTGCCATTTTTGCAAATTCCGCGACTAAAAATATCGAAGGTCCAGCCCTAGCTCCCAAACCAAAGGGGCCAGCACAGCAAGTTGGGCCTTGTTCTCGCTCTCTCCTGGAACCGCTTTCATCGCCCCATAAACGTTTGGGCTCAGGGCTTTCCTCTTGACTTCAGCCTCAAAACCACCTTTTGCCATTTTTGCAAAATCCGCGACTAAAAATACCGAACGTCCAGCCCTAGCTCCCAAACCAAAGGGGCCAGCACAGCAAGTTGGGCCTTGTTCTCGCTCTCTCCTGGAACCCCTTTCATCGCCCCATCAAAGTTTGGGCTCAGGGCTTTCCTCTTGACTTCAGCCTCAAAACCACCTTTTGCCATTTTTGCAAAATCCGCGACTAAATATACGGAAAGTCCAACCGTTATATAGCACTGCCGGGCCCGTTTCTAAACCATGTCCCTCAGCACCATATCTAGAGGGCTTTTAAATACGTCCCAGGATGGCGATTCAGCTGCTTCCCTCGGCGGCCTGTTCCAGTCTTTGGTAAACCATTTTCTTCAGTGTAGAAGATTTTCCTAATGTCTAACCTAAACTTCCTCTGGCACAAGTTGAGGCCATTTCCTCTTCTATGGGTTATAACTTGGGAGAAGAGACTGACTCCCCCCTGGCTACCCCCTCCTTTCAGGGAGCTGTAGAGAGCGAGAAGGCGTCCCCTCAGCCTCCTCTTCTCCAGGCTGAACACCCCCAGTTCCCTCAGCTGCTCCTTATCAGATGTGTGCTCCAGACCCCTCACCAGCTCCATTGCCCTTCTCTGGACACGCTCCAGCACGTGAAGATGTTGTTTGCTGAATGACTGCAACAGAGGAGGGAGCTCTGGATTCCAAAGGGCTGTCCCAGCAGAGCAGTATTATTTTTTTCCCCACAAATTAGAAGTCAGCCCTTGTGTAAGTTTTCCATTTTTAACACCTACATGTCATCACAAAGTGAACTACGAGATAGATGGCATGAAGGAGCGCTTCTCCTTAAGTGACTTTATTTAGGCCAGGCTGGATGGGATTTTGAGCAACCTTGGCTGGTGGGAGGTGTCCCTACCCACGGCAGAGGGGTTGGAACTAGGTGGTCTTTAAGGTCCTTTCCAACCCAAACCATTCTATGATTTCATGGATTGTTGTATAGTGGTTTAACTCGCAGTACTTCTATAGTGCAAAAATAAGTGATTAAGGAAAGTAAGCCAGAAAAAAACAGTCCAACGCACTTTTGCTCTGTATCCATTGTTAGAGTGGAAGTGCTTTTCCTTCACTTTCTTGGTTAGCCCACGCATTGTTATCTCATGCCTTGGCAAGAATAATTCAGTGACAGAGAGCAAGCGAACAGTGGTGCGTGGGATGGGACCTGACAAACTGACTATTGCTTTGTATTTGCATGTAGAGGAAGGAAAGGGCAGGAAGTTTGTATATTCTCTGGTGTGGGTGTCCTGGAGCAGTCGGTTTGTTTAGAAACACTGTCAGAAGGTTGAGAAACAGCCCTGTGGTCACCAGTGTTTCCTGACATTAGTTCTGTCAGTCCTGCACGTGGTTATCTGGTAATGCAGCCTGAAATACATGAAAGGCATGATCTGTCGCACTAAGGTTTCCACCTAGAAATGAGGTGGGCCTGTCTCCTAGACCTCCAAGTCTGTGATACCACGATTCTTGACTTCACGGTCAATACAGACCCTAGAAAGGAACAGTGTGTGGAATCCCTGGCAAACATAGGTTTGAGTTTGCACTTGAGCCGAGATCATCCGTGCTGCCAGTCTGTTTGTTCACGCTCTTCAGTGAACCAGTTTGCTTTCTAACGCAGCCAGCTGGGACTCGGCCCAGGCTTGAGATCTGCCCCTCGGGGAGAGCAGGAATTCAGTCAGGCCTGCGTAGCTGTAGCAGGACTGCCTGTACTCTTGCAAAGGTAGCAGAGTAGACAGCACAGCCTTGAATGCTCTGTCCTCCTCTGCAACCATCTGAGCTGCCAAGTGAAGCGAGTAAGGACTAGTCCATGCTGAGGTGGTCATATAACAGTTAAGAGCAGGAGCTGGGAAGGGTTAGACTCCAGCGGGTGGTAAGGGCAATCCTGTATGCTCAGAGGGATCCCCAGAAGTCATATTCTGGAGTTGCCGAGTGGATGACAGCTTCTGATGCCAAACGTCAGAGGCAGGCCTCCGCATCTCAGAGTTTTGTATCTGCTCTTGATCACCCCATGTGTATACGATTATATGGACTCACCTGTGAGTCCTGGACTCCTCCAAAACCATCGTTCTAGGGAGTGTTGGAGAGTCAGCACAGCTACAAATCTTAATAGTGAGTGGCTCAAAGACTAATTAGAACAACTTTTTCTTGCCCCATTTTGAAGGTCAAACGAACTGAAAGCCATTTCACCTCTTTGCCCACTGACCATACATGTGAACGCAAACATAGCTGACAGCTGGAGAAAAGTCAGAGGACAGTCCTGAACACTTCTGGAATGGCTCACAATAGTTTTGGCTGTAATGAGCAACTTCTATGGTCTGGTACCTTTCTGGCACCTTATACTGCTAATTTTGGGTTAATTTTCTCTAGTGTTCCTTCTGCATCAGCGTAGCCTTGGTGTTAGTATAAAGATTACTTAAACCAAAATTGAGCCTTTTGTCTTCCTTACCTGTTTTTTTTTTTTTTTTCCAGACATATTATTTCTAATTTATTATTGTGTGCTTGAATCATACTGGCAAGAGGTGAGATCACAGCCGCAGAGCGTGGGATGTCATGCACGTGCCCACCCAGACAAACATAGGTGTATACCCGCAATGCGCTCTGAGCACTGGAGACATACTGTGCCTCGGGTTGATTAAACAAGTGCATGTAGTAGAAGAGAGAGGAAAACACTGCTGTTAATTTTTAAAAAGGAAACAAGTAGCGTTTTCATTCTCACCAGGAAAGGCAATTTTGAAGTTAAACACCTCATTTATGGTGCTAATACTGTGCATTTAATTTTCAACTTGGAAGAAAAAAGATGTTTTTGTTCCCACTAGGGAAGGAACTTCTAAATACCACACTGATAGTAGCGTTGCTAGAGTCATTTGGGGCTTGATAATAGTGTCTTTTGGCAAGATATAACAAAAATCTCAAGGTGAATCATACCAGTGTCTATAATCACAGTATTGCACCTGCACTTCCTGTATAATAAAGTTTATTTCTGCCTTTGTAAACCAGTGAATTATTATTTCTTCAAAGTCAAGTCCCACTGAAACACAGGGCAGTAGCCCCGTTGAGTTCAATTATGTTCTGTGCAGTTAAGGTTAATATATGGTGACACTCTTTATTCAGCTTAATATGAGAAGTGTGCCCTTAACATCACAGCAATGCAAAGATAAAGCTTGGAGTTATTGCCACAGGAAGGCAGTAACAGTGGGATCTTACCGGCCTGGCACAATAAATCCTCTGAGCACCATCTGTAGGTTGGTCCCTGCCATAAGTAGTAAGTACACACTTGAGAGCCCTGGCTTAAGTTCATTAGAAATGCAGCTTGAATAAGGATGGGGAGGAGTCGTTTTGCTGTTTGCTGAGATAGCGTATGTGTTCTGCTGGAGCGGATGGTTGAAGGTCTCCTGGCCAGGCAAGGGACAGCACTTCCAGGGAGATGTGTCTGCATGTGCTAAGGTAGCCAGTCGTTACTGTTCAGTAAACTAATCCTTGGAATAAAGGAAATACTTGCTAAAAGAACATTAATGACTATGTAGGCTTATCAATGGAAGGGAAGCGAGAGTAAATTTGTGTTTTTATTTTACCACAGTTACGCAACTGTTGTTATGCTACTGTAAGCAGCTCTGGATTACAGAATCATCCACCCTTCTGAGACTTCTCAACTAAGGAAAATGTATTGTGTAATTGCAGTGGATAAAACTAAAGGTAAAAATGAAGAGCTTAATTGATAATCATTTTCCTTTACTCATATGTGCTCTTATTACTAGCTTAAGTACTATTTTGCATTTAGTAGTATGTTGTACTTGAAATATATAACAATGCCTACAACAGGGTTGTTAGTTGTTTTCCTTTAAATGAGTTTGTTAAGCTTTAACTACAGCTACAGATAGCATACCACTAGCTAAACTATGCGTTAGGTAGCATACCGCTTGCTAAACAACCATGGGTTGGCATGAAATTTTCCATACTGAGAATGGGAGTTTAGGATGACTTTACAGCTACCAAACATGATCTAAGAACAAAGGCCAGAAAAAAATGGCTTTGTCTAGGATAAAATGTTGTGGAGATCTTATCATTGAAGTGCTTATATGCCTTTATGGTCTAGAGCAGACTTGGAATTTGTCATGAAAAACTGAATTGGGAGGGGTGGGGTGTCTGATCTTCAGACTACACTTACCATAATTTATAAGCCTATGAAGAAATGAATTTTCCACATTCCTGACTTAGCATGTGCTCCCACCATCCTTGCTACTGCTGCGGTCAAGTCTACCCCAGTTGTGGCTGCAGGGCCCAAAAGAGTTCTCTCTTTGCCACTATGGACTGTGGTAGGTCTCTGGACTGGGGGTGAGGCTATAGAGACTATGCTCCCAAAAAGCTGCTGTTTTCTCCTCTTCACAGGTGCTTGAGCATGCCTGATAGGAATGGTGAGGGGAGAAGGACCTGACTTGCAGGAGGGAAACGGTAAGTATGGAGGCAGGGGATATAGTGAGACTGAAACTACTAGGTGATAGAAGAGCTTAACATGAGAGTAATAGGGATAGGATGCTGGGATTAGGTGAGGAAAGAAATTAAATTCTCAAGGAGGAATGAAGGAGAACAAGTTCAAAGCAAGGAGACAAGCACACGTAGATGAGGAATCGGAGGGGGACTGTATGCCAGGAGCCTAGAACTAATAGAAATGAGAGAGGAGAGATGTGGAAGCCAGTGAGGAAACCAGAAGAATGAGAGCACGTTGGTAGAGCAGACAAAATCAAACAGATTGTCTTGACTCTGAGCAAAGGAACAAGCTGTGATGGGAAGGGGAGCATTGACAGAAGAACCGCTGGGATTTGAACAGAGACTTAGAGACAGGAAAGTTAAAACTCAGAGAGCACAGATACATTAGCATTTCAGTGTTTTTTTCTGCTGCAGCAGGCATCTGCTTGGGTAAGGCCAAGAAAATATTCTGCCGTTCTAATTTAGTATAAGATATTTTGGTTTTTGTCTTTTCCATGTGCAATAAAGGAACAAAAGAGGTAGAAATCCATTTGTTTGCAGAGATCCATCTTGCAAGCCACCTTTAAAGAGTTTTTAGGTAGGAAGCCTTAGGCCTTTGGCCGACGGCTCTACCTTAGAGTTGGAAAAAGCAAGAAAACAGCTTTAGGAACCTTAATGCAAATATTGGCATGTGTTCGTTGTAATTCAAGAGGATTCAGTAAAAGCACTGAAAGGGCAAAGAGGTCTTATCTGAAAAAAGAAATCTATTACAAGGCTACATACTGAACTTTTATTTGTGTGTGCATATATATATGTATACACACACATATGCATGTCTACATACACATGCATCTGTAATACAATACAGATATGTGTGAATTTGTTTTAAAAATACTTGTATTATTGAGAGTACAAGCACCTATAAATCTAGGTGCCCCTGCTCCTTCAGTCAAACTATTCATGCCTTGAAGGAAACGAAAAATTACAACTAATATTTTATTGGCTTGGGTTGTGGATAGGTGCATTACACAAATGGATGCTATTAAATCTTTATACCATGCTGTACCAGTATGAATTTTGTATGTGCTACATATTTTGCAGACACAAATAACTATTTTAGAAATGATATAAGGAGTTTTCCAGAGACTCCAGGCAACAATGTCAGATCTAATTTGAATTATTGCTCTTGAAAATCATGGTTCTGTTTTTCATTACTGTTACACCAATATCCCTGACAACCTGCAATTTACCTGGTATGAACAGCACCTCCTGAAAATATAGAGCTATTTTGTGTGCTGTGGTATTTTTATATATTCTCCTTGCGCATAGGCATGATATTTCACATTAATTCCACTGGATGGCACTGAAGGAGACAAGATTGCACAGAAATATCTCCAGAAGTTGAGTTTAACTCCAAAAAGTGAGAGTGGCTTACTTTTCCATTCCATTACTGAAATAGAAAAATGTGGACTCATTTTCCATCCTGATGTAACAATTTGTCATCAAAACCAGCTCTTAAACACTCCTAGCTGTATTTCTAGGTTTTGACAGTCGCAAAATTACAGTAGAGGGAGAGTCAAGGCTTCTGAATCTGTATACCCCTTCTCCCCTCAAAAAGGTAAAGGCTAAAAGATGCAGCTTTAGCCCATTCTGGGTTTTTATGTGAAGGTTTGCAAAACACCTGAAGAATTTTTTGGTCCCTGTCCTCCATGGCAATGCTGTTGATACTGGTCACTTCTACCATTATGAGCAAGTGCAAGTATGTTAGCTTTTAAGCTCATGTGAAAAAAACTCCGAATTCATGCAGAATTAAAAGCTTCCACCTGTTGAGGAAATGTATAGTGTTTCAGAGAACCTCCTGACTTGAAACTCCATCTGCAGTCCCCACACAAGGACCCCTGTTTTTTCCTGGGTAGGGACTTTGTGATCCTGCCTGGAAAACACACAATTACTCGCTGTCAATCAGACCTATAACCTGGGAGCCATCTTTGACTGCACTCTCTTTTTTTGACCTGTTTATCTTGATGTATATGAATTTTGTTTCCTTTTCTTCTCTAAAGTCTCCTCTTATCTCTGTCCACATCACAGATATGCTTTTTTAGGCTTTTGTTATCTCTCATCCTGCTTATGACAGCTTTTTTTCCTACGCCTGACCTGACCTGTCAAAAAGGTCCCTTGAAACACTATTCTTGCACTTATCTCCCTGGCCTATTTCTGTGGCTCCTTTTTGTACTTACCTCTTTAGTATATCTCCATAGATTTCCCTGTCTCCGCAAGCCCTCTAGCCCTCTGAGAGTGCAGTTTGACAATTCTTTTGGCAGCTGTGCTGGCCTAAGACAGTCTCTGCTCCCAGCCATTCGCTCCTGTCTCTTTGATGTGCCGGCTAGTTTGCTGGCACAGTTGTTTTCCTCAGCTGTGTGGTAAACCAGATTAGGAACCTGATTTGGCTGAAAAGCAGCACGGGGGAGGGAGGAGAGGCACCTTTTTCAACCAGCTTATTTCTCCAATCTAGTCTATCAGGCAGCATTTCTGCTGGTGCGACGGAGGGGTTGGGTCTGGGGCAGAGACAAGTGGTGAGAGGCGTGGGGCTGTGGAGCCT